GTCAGGAAAAGGTATTTCAGGCGGGATCCGAACCAGGAATCACTTATTCAGCTTGTGGCAACATTTGCAAAACCGCAGGTCCCGGGGAGATTTGAACTCCCGTCGCAGGATTCAGAGCTTCTAGCTTTACTTTCTAGAGATGGGCTGAGGTTTGCTCTTTTGTAGTTTTAATCACTTCGTGGATGTCTCGTTACATTGGGAGACCTCGCGTGTTCGCATTTTATCATCCTGGTAATCTATCAAGCACATTTTACTAAATTGACCTTTTTGATTGACTCAATAGAACAATATAGTTTATTAATATCTCTTATCGACAACACACGTACTGTTGTTCGCTGCTGCTGTGCTCGCAGTGACTGTTCGATGGACACTGTGAGTACAGGCAATTGATGGCTTTCCCATTCTCATATATAATGGATTCCGACGGATTCTTGCATTTTCCTGGAATGGCAGCCATATAATTAAATTCATTTTGACTTCTCCAGTTTCTGTTCATTCCAAACCCACCACTCCCTCCACCGCTTTGCCTTGACCGACAGCAAAATGACTGCTGCATCTGTGGATTAGCGTAGCAATAGCTGTTGGACGGGCACGACGAAAACCGGCAGTTGATCGGTGTTACAGAGTTGGGCTCGTAGACGACCTCCTCAGTAGGCGAACGGCACATCTGAGTGCCGGGATAATCTGAAAAGCGCGTTTGCCATTGCTAGAACACCAAGAGGAATGCCATTGTCGAGAGTACGTGATGGATTCAGCTCAAAAAAGGGCGAAAAAAGTACAAATCAGTAAAAATGCCTCGCTGCTACTCTTTGAAGCGAAAAAAGGAGGAACAAATCCGTCTTCGACGATTTCTTTCGCATATTTTTCTATTAACAGGGTCTTAAATTCTGGTAGTCCATTCTGGAGCTCACTTCTCAGGTGCTCTTCCTGTGAAAGTGCCATTGAAGGCAAAATTCGCGACTGAATTTACTAGCACAAACCTTCTCATAAATAAGGTTGCTGGATCCTAAGCTGCATAGGTGGCAACTCTTTCGTTATAAAAACGAGTGACAAAGATGCTCTGAGCTTACAATTAGGAATTTCCTGTGGACACTCCTAGCTACCATGCGTGCCCTTCGTGGGCTACCTGCTGTCTCATATTATTCTCATGGTAACATTCTGCACGCCGTACGTCCCCGGCTATTCCTATTTCGATGTCTCCCCCATCTCCACAGTGCAGAAAAAAGCACTGGAGAAGCTTTCAATCCCTTTTCTTTCACTCTCTGGATCCACCTTCACACCTCTTCCTTCATTTTCGAGCCGACCAACGACGCCACGAGATCGTTGGTTGTGTCTTTAAGTTCGCGCTTGCAACACGACAATGAGAAAACTCACCTCCACTCCTGCAGTATCCGTCACCGTTATCAAAGGTTCCTGAAGGGCAGCGACAGACGTTTGACAGACAGCTTGAACCACCCGAACATTGTTGGCTGTAGATGCATTGAGCTCCGATCTGAACTTCACTATTGAAAGGCAACTTCAATAGAACAAAACTCAGGAGATCCTACCTTCACCAGTGGGTAGCACTGGTTGCCGATGAGCACCTGGTCGTAGTTACAGTTGGATGACTGAAAATACTAATGAAAAGAGTAGGGGATGCTGCGGGCACACACTGAGAGGGCATGATTTCAGCTTCCATATTGGTCCACATTTTTCTTCAGATTCAGGGGGGGGGGTTACACTTAATTCCATTCAAATAGGGAGCCACGAAGGGAATTGATTCGAACGGTGAATATTTGTGATACGCCACGTAGTCAACTTCCACCCCGAACCGGCCTACTGAATGGCCTATTGGCCCATTTGATCGATTTGTTGACCTCACAAACTCAAAATAAAATATATCCATCGCATCCGCTGACATTACAGTGGAATGTAGAAAGCTGAACAGACTGATTCGTGATGTGGCAGCTAAAAACTACATGTCGGTGTGTGTGGAAGTGCTCAACCAATTTTACTCACTATTTTAGATTTGGGGCAGCATACATAGCGCGTCCTTAAAGGATCTAGCTAAAAGCACTCAGAGATTTTTCATTTCTTCAGATAAATTGATTCAACCACCGTAAAAGAGAATATCCGCTCACAGACTCGCTGATGGCATCGGCACACCGCCGTTCGCGGCTGTATACGAACCAGGGCACCGACATGTCGACGACGTACAGGAGCCGAATCCCATGCACTGAGCCGAGTAACTGACAGGATTGGCCGAGTGGCACCAGTCGGAGACATTGTCCTGCGATCGACCTGAAATCCAAAGAAGGTCGTGTTTAACTCTATAATGGTCACTCGAGCACTACGTACACCATCCCCTGACTGCAATAAGAGACTCCGGTGACGCATGCGGTGCCATTGTAACTGTATGGATACGAGCACTGGCAGGTTGTCGAGCAGATAGCATTCACTGCAATGGAAATCGAATAAAATCAACAACAGACGGCAAATAAAACTGAGTAATGAACAAGTATTTATGAGAAAATCGCAATGGAATAGCCGATGTGCGGATCACTGGGAAATCTCTCGACCAATCTGTCTGTTCAATGCTCCTCAACAGTACCTCCAGAACATGCCACAATGAGTTCAAACCAGCCTATCTGGTGGGTAGGATGGACCTGTCGCCTGAAGTCTTAGATATACGCCAGCCCGATAATGCGCTTAGCCTTCGTTGAATAAACTGCTTCGACCGCTTCCATTTTCCTCATTCACAGCAGGCCGGTGTTGCGCCCCCGCTCTTCGTGGGGGGTGTTTTGTTGACACGTGCTTGTGGTGCCCACTCAGCGCCTCACTTCCTAGCAGAAGACAACTTCCCTTAACCCGTTAGAGGTGGTATTGGGGTGTTCGTGACAGACCACACTTTGCTTGCTAGTAGTGCGGTTCAACCCCCGGGTGAGCCCCCCCCCTTTATTTTACTGTGTATTGATAGTCGAGACCAATGGTGTGTCATAAGTGTTCCTATTTTGATGGAGAGTTGCGGTCAGTGGTTCTCTCAGGCGTGTGCTTCCTTGCGTGCCGAGAACCTCCATTGCGCTGAGAGTTTTTTGATTTTAGGTCAATCCAATTTATACGAAGTTATACGACATATTTGAAAATACGTTCATGAAAATGTGGTAGATAAACGTACGCTAACGAACACTCACCTATGCACTGTGCATTGTTTGTACAGCTCTGACCAATTGACACCTTATCCAGACATTGATTGTTCACCGCTACCTGAATTACAGCACAATGAAACTTGTTAGAAGTAATGAACGTCACGAATATTTCCGGGAACTGAAAATTTGAGAGAGGCCGTCCATATTAGATAAAAAAATTTTTTTTGGGGGGGGGAAAAGGGTGGAGTATGTACGGTGTAACGACGAATGGCGAATTGGGTGATACTAGTATAGAGTTCTCCTCTTTGTTGAGCAACACGCTTTTGGGTCTCATCCGGTAAGAGGGGGCATTGCGGTGCACGGTCTGCTCTAATGCCAATTTGGCTCAAGGAGTCCTTTAAAGTTACGAGCTGCTATCAGCTTTTTTCCTATGTTATTTCTTCAGGTGTTTTGTGTAATGTATGTATTCTTGTACTAGATGACATTAACGTCTACGAGAAGTGAAATTCACCTAGTTAGCAGGTCAGGACTAAGCCCAGGAGGGGGAGGAAGTCCCCCCGGGGGAAAGCCAAGATTGCTCACGGATCCGGGGACTCCTTCCCTTCTAGGGCTTAGTCCTGAACGTCTACAATAAAATAATGTGCTTTCCATGGTTTGAAATGCTCTAGATCGCTATGCCCCCCCCCTTACTGGATGAGACCCCGCCCTTTTTAGTGTTCAGTTTTCTCACCGTATTTATGGCTCACCCTGTAGACAGAGCCGATGAGGTGCACCAAACTGAGTGTTCGATAGGTTGCGAGATGGCCAGTGTACTGGTACCCCAATTTAGTTGCAAAACGTAAACGGCAAACGTCAAATTTAACGCGCGATTCGTGGAAAATCGCGAATCGCGCGTAAAATTGACATTTGCCTTACGTTTTGCACTAAATTAGGGTTACCGTACCCCTGGCACACTATGACAGAATGGGCCCGGCGAGGAACATTGCGCTGAAAGATCTGGGGTGCTAACTTAGTTGGGGGGGGGGGGCCACGCGGCGGCGCGGCAGTCTGCACCTGGGCTCTCTCGAGCGAGACAGTGTAAACTCGAACATTCCAGCTTTTCACGCATGTCAAGTGACTGCCCCCCCCCCACCCCCCTAGGCTGGCTGCCTACACTCCCCCTGGCCCACGGATTTCCGAACATGCCAGGCGAGCAGACTGCCGCGCCGCCGCGTGCCCCCCCCCCAACTAAGTTAGCACCAAGACTATGTTAATGTTGCAATATTCAGAAGGATTTCGTACCTGATAAGACTTGCAACCGTTGTTTTGTATGTTGCACATGCCATTAGTTGCTGGTGCACCATTTGGGCACGTACAGTAACCGTTCGTACATTGGGAATAGCCAGTGCACTTGCTCGTTGAACATACATGGACCACCAACAACCGCCATCGGATAGCATTGTCTGTTGACGAAAACCTGAAAAATAGAAGGAACTCGAAGGAATAGGTCACGATCGAAATGACACAGGATGGTATGTGGTGTACGACACTACTACGCACGTTAGGTCGACGCCAGACCTTGCCCAGCGATTCGCAGAGTCTTGAAACCGGCTGGATTGGTGGCTTAGCTACTAGCGAATCGCTAGGTTCTTGAGTCTGACACCGGCACATCTTGTAAACCTATCGATTCGCTAGTAGCGAATCCATCGATCCAGCTGGTGTCAGACTTTGCGAATCGCTTGCAAAGTCTGACACCAGCGTTAAATTGCTGTCTCCACCGGAACGAGACACTCAAAATCACCTGATTTTGGCCACAGGAAGGACTGCTGCATTTTCCATTAAACACCGAAGAACCGCTGGGACATTGACAATAACCACTGGTGCAGGTCGAATCACCGAGACATTGCTGTGGATACGAACAACGACCTCCGATCGTTACCGTCGGCATGCATTGTCCATTCACCAACACCTGCAATACCCAGGTTAAGTTGTCCGTCTCTGGGAGGAACTCTTTCTACCAAATCAATAATCGTACAGAAAACAACACAGGAGCTTCCTGTTCTATACCCATGAATGTGCAGTGGTCCAGGGTCCCTGTAGGGCCGTACCTGGCCTTCTGAGAAATTTGGATGCGTATTTGGAGATAGAGGACGGAAGTAGGGTTAACCGTTGCGTTCGCACTTTCCAGAAGTTTTGCGACCCCTTTCTCTTTAGGAGGGTCTCTATGCGACCCTTAACCATTACCATCAACCTTAGGAGACTCCTCCTATACGACAGACCTCCTCCAATCTCACCATCATGGCTCTTTCTATAGTACCAGTTGGCACAGCTCAACTGCGCACTCTTTTCTCTCCGAAAAAAGTTGATATCATAGAGCGGAAGATCCCCTGATTTCGTTTACATTACCTATTTTTGAAAAATTTTCGCCAAACTCGTCGAGAAACCCGTGCCAAATACAACCCACTCCTTCACTCTTTTCAGAGAGGTAGTTAACCTTACTCAACCCCAAAATGCTACTGCTCCTTCAAAAGGAGCGAATGCGAACGGACTATTGACTCTGGATGGGAGTAGGACCAGGAGACCGAAGATGAGCTGGGATGACTTTCAGTTCTCCTCCTAAGTCAGGTCGCCACGAACCCTAAAGTTCTGCTTGGAGTTTGGGCTTATGCTTAAGCCTATGAATGGGCCTAGATTTAGTCCTAGGCTTGCTTTGAACAGGTGAGTAGTGTCTTCATTTAAGATAGCCTGACCTGAGGAGGACAACTGAAGCGCACCCGGCGAGCTGTGGGACTACAAATCGAGGAACGAGTATGGGTCGTATTAGCCCTTGGCGGAAGACGTTGATCCGAATTTCCTCAATACGTAGTTCACTCTGTACTACGCATTAATCCCTTCTCAGCTCCCTCTCCTCATAGTGCTGTTTTCTTTTCACCAATTCCCCCTACACCATTAGCTTTTGTGATCTACGGCCTCAGACTGCCACAGCAGTCAGTGAGAGT